GACATATCATCCTTTGTCACGGTGTCGGCTCCGAAAATGTACACGCTCTGATCACGGACAAGTGTTTGTTCATGAAACATTCAAACACTTCTCCGGAACATTTATCCTGAAATCAGACATTTTACCGAATCTTTTGAATTATGATACTACGGTAACTCACTCTGGCTTCTCTACAATCGAGCGAATAGAATGGCAACTCATTGTCATTCTGTTCCGCCTTATTCAGAATAGTAGAGCATAAATGAGCTTGAGTCGTGTTGCACACCGAGTTTTGTTCCTCCGGAGGCCAGATTTTTTGTCCCGAGACGAGCATTGGAGACCCCATGAGAAGGAGAGAGAAAATAATCAGAAAATTCATATATCCTCAGATTGAACAGTTGAAGAATGATCGAGGAAGAGGGAATCGCCTCTTTTTATAGTAAAGCGTAGGAGGATTTTTTACGACCATGGGAGCGGGAGATGCACATGGGATCGTTCCCGAATGATAATCTAATTAGCTGAAAATTTGATTTTTTTTGGATACGGTAGCTCTGGGATAGAGTTCTGATTTTTGGTCGACTAGATTCTAATGATCTGAGGAAGGCTTCGGATACAAGATTCTTTATACATAATCACAACTTATAAATCTTATTATCCATTTTAGAATGGGATCCAATCGTGAAAACATTATTAAAATCAACATTTGGTAGTTTAAACTCGATATCTTTCTCTCCATCTCCAAATCTTTTTGTATGTGCCAAAAATGCATTACAATTCGGGCAATAATGTCGGACGTCTTTTGTTCTAGACCAGAGTAAGCATAATAAAAATGGGATGAGGAGAAATGCAGCACCAATGATGAGAAGGGCATACCACACACTACCAAGAACATGTCGGATTTGGGTTTTGACGATTTTCTGGAACTTTTTTTTCATTTTTTGGGTTAATAATAACGCATTCCAGTTTCGTGTGGAAAATAGAGTGGCCTAACTTTTTATTATGGTGGCTTAACTTATGAATGTTTGGCTTTCTAGGCCACAAATTTTATGGCCTAGACGCCTTCTAGGCAATTTTCGTACAGCTTCGTAGGCAACTTTAAAGTGTTGGCCTAACTTTAGCGAGTTTATTTTTCTGGCCCACCAATTTTTTTGGCCTAGAAATGGCTTGATATTAACTTGGTTTTCTAGGTTATTTATCAAGTTGGCCTAGAAAACTTAACTTGCAAAAGTAAGGCCACCACGTTTAAATGACCTAGAAATGTTCTGATATTCACTTGGTAGGTCTTCTAGATCATTTTAACGTGATGGCCTAACTTTTGCAAGTATAGTTTTCAAGGCCACAGGGTAATTGCCCTAGAAAACGCACCAGGCGATTTGTAGACCGTTTCTAGGCCATAAACTTTGGTGTGTCTAGAAAATGCATGTTGAGAAAGTTAGGTCAGCATGGGAAATGGCCTAGAAAGCAAACCAGGTGAACGTCAGATCATTTCTAGGTCGTTTAGCATGGTGGCATAACTTTCTCAAACTATGTTTTCCAGTCGACTTTTTTTTTAATGGCTTAAAAATGTATGTTGAAAAAATTAGGTCATCAAAAACAATTACGAAATTTCTAACAAATTTTGTCTTTCAAAAAAACACACCACTCACCATACACACTGGACAAAATTCGAAGTAAGGTTTATCATATTTGACAAGTTTGAAATATACTACCGGTAAGACAATAACAGGTACCTCAACTTGATGAGACTCTGAAGAATATGGTGGTGGAGATGTGCTCATTTTTTTTTTCAAATGGAAAAAAAAAGTTTTCGAAATAGTTTCCTAGAGAGGTTTATAACTAAAGAAGTGATGCTTACGGCAAGATAAGGGAGGAAGTAGGAAAGATGGGTAAATAATGCTTTTTTTTAATCCAGAAATAAATTTGAAAGCTTGAAAAAATCCAAATAAACATCCAAAAATTTGAGTGCTTGCACTTTCACCTACCTAGACTAAACAGATCACTTGTTTTTGCACACTTATGTAATCCCATTTTCTCTTTTTAGAGTTCAATAAACCAAAATTTTCATTTCTCTTCTAGATCTTTGTTTCATTTCACCCAAAAAAAAACCAAGAGACCAAACTGCATGTGTTGTTTTCCTATAATAGCTACAATGAAGCGGATGAAAATTTTGTTTTCCTGATCTCATTCTTCCTGTTTATATGAGCACGACTTGAATTCTGATTTCTGCTCATTCATAGCATTTTCATGGCTGCTGTTAACCAGGTAGCACTTTCTATGTGCTCTATTTGTAATGTGAGACCGTTATCTGGATTTTCCTATGGGGTGAGTGAAAATCTACTGTAAACACATTTCGAACTCTTTTATCTCGGTTCTTGTTGTAGATATCAAAAATTGGTCAACTGATAAAATGTTAATCATAATATCAGAAACAATTTTGTTAGTTGACCAATTTTTGATAGTTGTTATAGGTGCCGAGATATATGGGCTCAAAGTTGAAGGTTTGGTTGACATTCTATTAGAGTGTTTACAGCAGTTATGATGTAACTTGTCAACCTACTTTTGAGAACAGCGAAAAATTTAAATGTTCCCAAACAGAGGTTTTTGTAGACTCATGACCTCAGTTTTCGATGTTATCAAAATTAAAATAGACAGGCAATATCTAGCTGCTATTTCGTGTTATCTGTGAAAATTTGGGAAATTTTGGTTCAGTGGGGACTTCGCTAGGGTCCGCTAACCGGGAACAAACGGACACACACGCAGAATTTGGTGTCGGTTAATAGTAAAGATGTTTGACAAGTTTAATTTAGAACTAGGCCGTTTCAAAAACTTGAACGAATGACATCAGAAATTTATAAAACACCTGCCCAGAAAGCGTTTTAACTTTAACCCGACTTATCATGATTCCTGTCGAAGATATCAAAAAGTGGTTAACTGATAAAATTTTTTGTGTTAGTTGACCACTTTTTGATACCTTCTCTAGGAATCTGGATAAAGTGAGTCAAAGTTGTCATGCCCTTCTATTTCATGTCCTTCTATTATAACTTCTTTAAAATCCTCTATAATGCCCTGTACTTTTTATTTCAGGCACTCTGCTGTGGAGCCTGTAAAATGTTCTTCCGTCGAGTCCTATTTGTCAAAAACATTGATCAATGCAGACGAGGTGAAAACTGTATCCGAAAATGCCGCGACTGCAGGTTCAAAAAGTGCATCGAAGCCGGAATGACCTGGACACCACCTGAACCCCTATCCATCCTGAACACGAAAACGGATCCTTTATCTGCATTGATCTTCAACCTCTCTCATCACGAAGATCGGAGAGAATTCCTACTGATGAATTGTTTCTATCATGGTGACCCAACTGTATTGGAACTTGCAAAGATACAAGGACCCCTTAAGTTTCGACCCAGACCACCCGGTTTTCCAATGACACTTCCTTTGTGGGTTTTCACAATTGGAATCACATCATTGGATTATTTAAGGAAGTTCGTTCATGTTAATTTACTAAATGACTCGGATAGAGCGGTTCTTTTGAAACACACTTTTTTCGACTTCTCACTTTTCACGGATGCCATTAGAGCTCAGAAAAGAAACCAAGATTTTATCTCATTCCCAGATGGTATGGATATCATAAAACCTGGAGTGGTTGGTGTGACAGATGAGTTTCTGGATGGAATACGGTGTCGATTACCAGGAAAGGTCAATCAGTTGAAAGTGACAAAGGAGGAATTCTTGCTGCTCTCTCAAGTGTTTTTCTGTAATCCAGGTGGGTTGTCTTTTTCCTTTTATTTTCAGAAATAAGAATGTTTCAGCTATCACCGATCTATCTGAAAGCGGTCGTGGGTTCCTTAACTCTTATCAAAAAATTTACTCATCCGCTCTTCTTCAATATTGCATGTTGACTTATAAACATGCGGGACCCGCTAGATTCACCGAGTTGTTATCGATTTTTCAAGTGATCTTCAAGACTAAAATGGATATTCGAAATCTGGTGATACTGAACACTTTGAGAGGACGAGGACCAAATATTCGACAGATTCATGTTTTTTGAGTTTCTATAAATAAAGTTAATCTCTTCTCTTCGATTTGAAAGCTGACACAAATCACATAGGGAATCGTTTATTTTTGAAAATATAAAAATTGTGTGCCTGATCTTTTGAACAGAATGATGTGTCGGGTAGAAATGAAATTAAAACACAATTTTTTTGAATGTGGTTGAAATAACAGAATTCAAAAGAACTAAGAAAAATATCGAAAATTAGTATAATGGAAAATCTAAAGGCGTTTTATAGAACCGAAAAAAAGTTTTTTAACCGTCAAACCTTCCTAGAGCTTCTATTAGAGAGGCCCTTCTATTGAAGGGGCACTCCGGGGTGGTCAAGGGAAGCTGNCCNANAACGCGCCCCAGCGANCTCNNANGCCAGAAGAATTTCTAATTTTGAAGTGGACGCAGATTTGATCTATTTATTATTAATAGATCAAATTAATGCGCGCTTTTTTTCGCTCATCTTTTAAAACTTTTATACTCAGCCAGTAGCGAGATTTCGAGGTTCGCTGGGGCGCGTTTTTCGGCCAGGCTCCCTGACATAGCGTGGGCATTCTTAATACAGATTTCACGGTACAAATCAATTTTGTATGGTACTGTAGATCAAAAGTTTTATAGACACTCTAAAAACATTGTACTTCAAGAAAAAATGTTGTGTGGTTTGCTCGAACCGGCCGAAATTTGACAGTTCAAGGAATCAAATTTCTTATCAGTCTATCTCTATCGAAACCATCGCAAGGTTTAGAATGTCAGAGCTTTTTCGCAACTCGTCTCTTGTTATAATCCTTCGTAATGATTCATATGAATGATTCAAACCATAGAGTAAAAGAATCTGATGTCATAATTTTGATATAAAGGTTCTGGTTTCACTGTCCATTCATTTTCAAAAATCTGAAAATGTCCCGAGTTCAAGTGTCAATTCTCGGAGTACTTATTCTCATTTCGTTCGTTTTGACCACAATTTCAACGTTTACCAAATATTGGATCGTTTGGCACAATGGATTGTTCAAAGGTCATTTTGGAATCGTTCCGTTTCAATCGGTAGGTAACTTTTAAGAAATTGTTAAAAAATTGAAAAATTGCAGTATGAACCAGGCTGGCTCTCCACGGCCAGTTGGTGCATGTTCGGTGCATTCGGTGCATTTTTCCCGTTATTTGCGTTGTATGCATTTTCAGTGTAAGCTTACTTTTTTATCGAAAATTCATTGAATAACAATTTTTTAAGTTCAAAGTCTACCGTCAAGGATGTTCCCATGGAGTTCGTATAAACTTTTTTGGGATTCTTATATTTTGTCTTTTGATTGCATGCCTTCAAGTTACCGCGTTTACATTCACGGCTATAAATGTTGTGAATTTTAAATTCTGGATGACTACAGTAGTCAATCAAAGTGTGAGTCCTAATGACAAATTAGGGTTCCATTTGGTCGGCGAATTTGGTCGAAAGACCGACCGCCGACCCAGCCGACCCAACCGACTGACTGTCGGCTGAGCTGACCGATCGGTTCCAAATTTATACACTAGCGCGTCGACATTCCTAAGAGTGTATGCGTACGCGGGCAAATAAAATAGTTAGATCGGCTGGGTCGGTTTGCGGTTACCGATTTTCGACCGACCGAAACGGAAGACTTAATAAAAATATATAATTTAATAAGACGAATTTCAGATGGGAAGTTCTGCATTTCTAGCAATAATTTCTGCGGTCATTGCATGTTTGGCAACTGCACAGGCTGGGAATATAGCGAAAAGGTATTGTAATTAACTTTATTAATTATTTTATGAAATAAATAAAATTAATTAATGATGTGTGAAACCGAACGTCCTTGTTGCCGTCTCGCTGCTTGACTGACCACGCTGACGAATTTGTTATTTTTCTGACGGCAAAAAAAGAAATCTGAAGAAAATATTTTTGAATTCTGAAAAAATATTTTCCATTCTTTTTAATGCTTTTATTCGGTCGGAAAAATCAGCAGACCGACCGCCGACCCAGCCTACCAACAGCCGATCGTGCAAACCGATTGGTCGGCGGTCGCCGACTTTCGACAGACCGGATTTAAATTTTTAATTCAATTTTTCCTACCAATTAAAGTATCTCTGAAGCCTTTTATAATAAACAGAATCACAAATGGATCGATAGCCGGATAAAGGTGGTTCATGACTACTGTAACATTGGCCCATGCACCAATTCCTCCGCCAAGCAAAGCGGAACATGTGAAAATCATATTCGGTAGATACATCAAAAATAATGGGATAACTGTCTGAACAACTAGTGCCACGAAAAGCTGGAGTTGCAGCTTTTTCGTTCGTACTGACTTTGCTTGTATATTTCGAATTCTGCGAAATGTTTTGATGCCAAAATGGAAGACTATGTAGATGGTGGCTTGCTAAATATAATACTTTTTTGAAGAAAAAATTCTGAGGCTCACCATGACCACCACATGATGGAATACTCCTACTAGAGTGTTCGGCCTCAGAACTCTTTGATGATCAATTGTTTTATACTGAAAAAAAAACTTCATATTAGAGGAGTTTGGATAGCAACGTCAGGGTTGGGATTTTTTAGACATTTAGTATTTCGAAATTTCAGAATTTGAATAATCGAAATTTCGGAATATTTTAGATTTTGAGAGCAAGCTTTTTTGAAATACCCTGTGAAAATTTCTCAATAAACTCACAAAAGCATACGGCACATATCCGATTTTTTCTCGAGAAAGTCCATAATAAGTTGACAAGACGATGCTGGAAATTTCAAATCATACTAGTTCTTAGAAAAGTTTCAACTTCAATTCGTATTCGGTCTCCTCATCAGGCTCAAAAAAGATGTATGCAGTCACAACCCAACTCAATGCTACCAGAAGCATTCCAAGAATCCAATACCATAATTTTTTTCCTCGAAAATGAAATAGTTTTTGTGGTTGGCAAGAAACATAGTAACGGTAGATGAAATGAACGGCAAACATGACGAAGCACATTGCGAAACACCCACAGTACGATGCTGGAAATAGAAAACAAGTCACTGAAAATATTTTGAGATTCCTACCTGATAAGATAATAGCTACAGAATCGGAAAAATCGAATCGTTTTCGTTGTAAGACCATTAAGGTATTTTTGTAATGATGCATTAGCTGAAACTAAGGATCTTAACATCAATAAAAATTCTAATTTATGATACCGGTCTCATGAATTTTTCAAGAGATGTAAAAATCGAGCTAAAGATACAAAAACTGATCATGAGATATCGATAGGTTCCGATTCCATTGACGCTCTTCCTGATTAAAAGAACAAATAGCGTGATATTTCCAAAGGTGGACACAAATAATCCAATTGTTGAACAAGTGTCGGTGACCCGAATCCAGACGACGTCAGACATGATGATGGTCAAGATGTCGACTGAATATTATACTTCCGTTTTTTTTTCTGGTGAACACATCAGCTGACCACAACAGTCAGGTTTTTAACGAAGAAAAACAATGGCATTTTTCGAGAAGCATTGCTCATCTCTTCATGTGTGTTTTAACTCAAATAACAAGAAAAATACATTAATTAAAAGATATGATTTATTTTCACAGTTTACAACAAGTTTAGCAAGTTAACATATGTTCTTTCTGGGTCCAGCTCTGGTTGGGCATTCCATACGAATATCAATATGAATGTGGAACATATTTAGTAGTAGTCGTTTAGAATTCAGGTTTCAGAAAAAAATGTAATAAAAATGGAGTGCTCTTCATTTCAGCCGTATCCATTTTAAACCCGAGATCTTGGCGCCGAAAAAAGAAGATTTCAAAATGCGTCTGAAGTTATCATCAAAAGTTTATCAAAAAAAAATTTTCGAATTCTTGTGAACGACATTTTTCTGATCAATTGGCATCCAAGAATTTAGCTGAGAAATAAGAGAAAAAGCAAAACTAAAACGTCTATGATAGATTACATATCTTTGAATTGCCGAGAAAAATAGTTCCCGGTCAGGAAGAGAAAAAAGTTCTCACTTGCTAAGATTCTTACAGGGTAGAGGGTCGCAGCTTATATGATTAAAAGATTGTATTACGCATTTATATTGAGTGAGATAACTCGATCTAGCCTATATCAAATGAAACTCGATTTCGGTGCTTGCTCCATCAGCCACAATGTTTTCCGAAAGTCGATATAACATTCTGGTTCGTAGAGATTCAGGAACCGAGAGCCGTAAAACAAAAAGAACGATTCACCACTTTGTGAACTACCTTCTCACTACTTTAGTATTTACAACAACTGTTTTCGATATGCCTAGTGCTTCCGAAACGTGTAGAATCTTCATGGAAAAATTACCATGTGTCCCAACTGAAATACTCGATAGACCGGGATACACAATGCTTGGAAACCTGTACACTGTAAGAATAATTATTCCGATGGATATTACAATATGCTTCATTCAAATCATCGCTTTTTTCTATTCAACATGGTCGCATATTTCCAACACAAAATCACAATCTCATCGGACCACAGAACTTCAGAAAAGTTTTTTCAAAGCTTTACTTCTTCAAATTATGTTTCCGTTCTGTATCCCGGTCTATCGAGTATTTCAGTTGGGACACATGGTAATTTTTCCATGAAGATTCTACACGTTTCGGAAGCACTAGGCATATCGAAAACAGTTGGTGTAAATACTAAAGTAGTGAGAAGGTAGTTCACAAAGTGGTGAATCGTTCTTTTTGTTTTACGGATCTCGGTTCCTGAATCTCTACGAACCAGAATGTTATATCGACTTTCGAAAAACATTGTGGCTGATGGAGCAAGCACCGAAATCGAGTTTCATTTGATATAGGCTAGATTGAGTTATCTCACTCAATTTAAATGTGACAGCAACATATGACTGAACATAAGAGGGAACTCCCGAAGTATAGAAAAATCCTAATGGATAACCAGCAAGAATTGGGAATTGAACAACTGGAATGATGCCGATTGTAACTAACAAATCGAAACTTGCACATCTGAATACTAGATGATAGAAAGGACTTCCAAAACTGTCAACTTACACTAAATGCATCATTAACATTGGAAGTTTTACAGCGAATTCCAAAAAATAACTTTTAAAGAGAAGTGTTTATGGAAACGGTCTCTGTATGAATCACATTACCCCTTATCATTTTTCAGGAACTGATTACATTTTTGACTTCGTTTTAAACATCATGACGTTTTTTTCTTTTCTAGTTAAACATGAGAATGAACAGATTTCTCGTTTACTATATTTTTATAGGCGCTATAATTTTACCCGCATATTACTTATTACTTACTATAAAATTTTTCATTTTTGCTATTTTTCCCATAGGCCCATTTCAAAATTGCGAGGAGGTTTATTTACAATGGTATGTTCTGATTATTCCTATAAACTATTTCTCCAAAAAATTTGGCGAGTACGTTGAACAAAATACAAAAAATTTGACGACAATCGAGTTTTATGAAAATCAATCAGATCAAGTTGTAGTCAGTCACGAGAAGATTGTATTGAGAGCAGCTCTAAAGTAAGAATCTTCCAAAAATTGAATTAATTGATTTTTTATTCCAGAGACAGTTTCCCTATGTACTCGAATTTCATAATCTGTTCGCTATACGTTTCTTGTAATCCCTGGTTATTCTGGCCGAGCTTTTCAATTGCCTTACTGTATTATATATTTTTGTATATTTTTGGATTCTATTTGGTTTTTATTGCCCGATTAAAAAATGATAATGAATATTTAGTTTAAAAGTTGTTAAATCTTTTTTTAAATATCAATAAATCGATGAATCGCAAACTGTTTTTTCAAACTTCAGGTGACAGAAAGAGAATGTGTAATATTTCGAAATTAGATAATCTTGGAAGTTTTTGAAACGCTCAACCAATGCATCGTTTTTTGACTGCTGATAAAAAGTTTGATAACATTTCGAAACACTCCCTCACATTTTTCTCAAATAAAACATGAAAATTATCATTTTCAGCATTTTCTATCATTTTGTTACTAGCTCATTTTTACCAATTTTCTACTATTCATTGTTTACAAAGTTTATTATTTTTTGTATTCTTTACAATCCTCCAATCGAAAAATGTGAATTATTATATTCGAAATGGGGTCTGCTTGCTATTCCTTTGTATTTTTCATCCTACCAATTCGAAAAGTACGTTGAAAGAAACTCCAAAAATTTGACAACTCTTGGGAGCTACGAAAAGCGTTCAAATCAAATAATTATCAGTCAATATGAGATGATATTAAAAGAAAATTTGAGGTGAGTGTATTTTTTTCATTTTCTACTTTATTTTTTTTTCGTTTTCAGTGGGTCCATACTCCCAGGGGGCATCGAAATAGGGGGCATTCACTCATAGGGGGCATCCCGAAGTTGTCTCTTAGGGGGCATCCCACCATGTCTCATAGGGGGCATTGGACCAAATGCTCCCAGGGGGCATTGATAGTCTCATAGGGGTCATTGAGATAAATTTGAGTATATGATTCTGAATATGATAAATTTTTATTTTTACATCTTTTTCGTAGCTTTTTGAGGAAAACAAACACAATTGAAGATTATCGAAGGTGTTATTTCGGAGGGTCAACTGGGTAGAATTCCGGCCAATAGTTCGGGGGTACAATGATTCGGGGGTACAACTCTTTTCATTCAGGGGTACAATGCTTGTGATTCGGGGTACAGTTTTTTTGAGGGAGACTCTGAATTCCTGAATGTCAGAGCTTGAAAATCTCAGAATTCTTAGAATTTCAGAACTTTGAAATTTCAGTATTTCGGAATCTGAGAATTTCGGAACTTCAGACTCGGGCGTCGCCGGCAACTTCTGGCCGGAGGCTGGTCGGCTTCAGGACGGAACTTGGTCAGATTCCGGCAAAGACATTGTGGGAAGCCGACCAAGATCCAAACTACCGGCCAACTTCTGACCTCCTAATAGCAGGGGCCGGTTCGGTTCGCGTTTATTGATGTTTTTATAGAGAAACAGCGCATTATGTAGAATTTTATTTATTAAAAAAAGAGTTATACATGAAAATGAACAAAATTAGAAAAAAATATAGAAAAATAAGAAAATCATGATTTAGATTTTTAAATTTTGAAGATGTCGCTGTGAATCGTGACGAATACGGGAGAAGAGGCTCTGCCTGAAATGTGAATAAAATTAGTTATTAATTCAGAAAATAGGAATTTACCTGATTAACTTTCTTGCCTTTCTCCGTATTTTCTTGCATCCAGTTATTTCTTTGATTCCTGGAAACAAAACTTCCAAAAATACAGTTTTTTTTTCAACAAAAACTACTTCTAGTTGCGATATCTCACTTAAAAACGTTGACTTGAACTTTATTTATCTGAAAAATTTAAATTATGACAAGAATTCGATGAATAAATTACCTGATAAGTTTCGTACTCTTTTTTTCGAGAACTGCGTCTGTTATTGTCTCCGAAGTACTTGTCTGAAAAAAATGCTCCTAAAATTGAAAGGATGCAACTTTAAAACAACGTTTTTAGGGAAACGGCAAGAAAAATAATTTAGAAAACAAATTTAAAATGAGTGAAGCACGCGCCGCATAACACGCAGCGCCTTCAAATTCCGGCCAAAATTCGATCATTGTCCGTCCCATTGCTGCGGTGGGCCTCTTCTGACCAAAAGCTGACCAAGATCCGTCCAAAAGCCGAACCCACTTTAGAATCTCAATATTTTTTTTCTTAATTCTATTTCAATTTTTTCTGTTTCTCAATATTCCTTCGGTTTTTCCCAGTTTTCCCTTTTTTTTCTCAATTTTTCGTTTTTTTCTGAAAAATATGACACAAAATCAAAAAGAACAATGTGACAATGAGAAGTGAAAATTTTCTGTCGTAATTTTTAAAAATTCAAAAATATTGAGATTCTAAAGTTCTGCGATTTCGAAGTTCTGAAATTCTAACAATCTGAAATTCTCAGACTCCTCGGCTGTCGGCTTGCAACTTCTGGCCGGAAGTTGAGGGGGTTCGGCTTTTGGACGGATCTTGGTCAGCTTTTGGTCAGAAGAGGCCCATCGCAGCAATGGGACGGACAATGATCGAATTTTGGCCGGAATTTGAAGGCGCTGCGTGTTATGCGGCGCGTGCTTCACTCATTTCAAATTTGTTTTCTAAACTATTTTTCTTGCCGTTTCCCTAAAAACGTTGTTTTAAAGTTGCATCCTTTCAATTTTAGGAGCATTTTTTTCAGACAAGTACTTCGGAGACAATAACAGACGCTGTTCTCGAAAAAAAGAGTACGAAACTTATCAGGTAATTTATTCATCGAATTCTTGTCATAATTTAAATTTTTCAGATAAATAAAGTTCGAGTCAACGTTTTTAAGTGAGATATCGCAACTAGAAGGTAATTTTTGTTGAAAAAAAAACTGTATTTTTGGAAGTTTTGTTTCCAGGAATCAAAGAAATAACTGGATGCAAGAAAATACGGAGAAAGGCAAGAAAGTTAATCAGGTAAATTCCTATTTTCTGAATTAATAACTAATTTTATTCACATTTCAGGCAAAGCCTCTTCTCCGTATTCGTCACGATTCACAGCGACATCTTCAAAATTTAAAAATCTAAATCATGATTTTCTTATTTTTCTGTATTTTTTTCCTAATTTTGTTCATTTTCATGTATAACTGTTTTTTTAATAAATAAAATTCTACATAATGCGCTGTTTCTCTATAAAAACATCAATAAACGCGAACCGAACCGGCCCCTGCTATTAGGAGGTCAGAAGTTGGCCGGTAGTTTGTCGGATCTTGGTCGGCTTCCCACAATGTCTTTGCCGGAATCTGACCAAGTTCCGTCCTGAAGCCGACCAGCCTCCGGCCAGAAGTTGCCGGCGACGCCCGAGTCTGAAGTTCCGAAATTCTCAGATTCCGAAATACTGAAATTTCAAAGTTCTGAAATTCTAAGAATTCTGAGATTTTCAAGCTCTGACATTCAGGAATTCAGAGTCTCCCTCAAAAAAACTGTACCCCGAATCACAAGCATTGTACCCCTGAATGAAAAGAGTTGTACCCCCGAATCATTGTACCCCCGAACTATTGGCCGGAATTCTACCCAGTTTACCCTCCGAAATAACACCTTCGATAATCTTCAATTGTGTTTGTTTTCCTCAAAAAGCTACGAAAAAGATGTAAAAATAAAAATTTATCATATTCAGAATCATATACTCAAATTTATCTCAATGACCCCTATGAGACTATCAATGCCCCCTGGGAGCATTTGATCCGATGCTCCCTATGAGACATGGTGGGATGCCCCCTATGAGTTAGTGACCCCTATGAGTGAATGCCCCCTTTGAGCACGATGCCCCCTATTTCGATGCCACCTGGGGGTATGGGCCTTTTCAGTGTCTACCTCAGATCTGGCAAGGTTTACATTCTATTCTCACTAACCGTTTCTTGTAATCCCTGGTTATTTTTCCCAAGTTTATGTATTGCTCTTTTTTATAATTTCTCCTTGTACATTTTTGGATTTTATCTTATTCATTTGGACCAAACAAACAGCAATTTTAATGGTTTCGTTTAAATTTATTATTGGGGTGACGATTCTTTTTAATTGTATTTCTTTGGTGTCTCTATCGAGAACGTTGGAAATGAAGTAGACGGACTTTATCCTGAAAATGATGTGGCTGTGAGAAAATATAATAGAATGGATGGAAACCAGTGGGAATCAGAACCGCTGTTTACCGAAATCAGCAAAAATGATTCTCCAAAAAAATTGTTCATGTAAACGAAAGAAACTCCAAAAATTTGACAACTCTTGGGAGCTATGAAAAGCGTTCAAATCAAATAATTATCAGTCAAAATGAGATGATATTAAAAGAAAATTTGAGGTGAGTGTATGTTTTTCTTTTTCTACTTTATTTTTTCGTTTTCAGTTACAACCTCAGAGATGGTAATGTTTACATGTTATGCTCCTTAACAATTATCAACAATCCCTGGTTATTTTTTTCAAGTTTGATCATTTCTGTTTTGTATAATATCTCCTTGTACGTTTTCGGTTCTACCTGATTCATTTGGGTGAAACAAAAAATAATTTCGATCATTTTGTTTGAACATTTTAGAATGAAGTAAACATTAATTTGAATGTCTAATCACTTGAACTTTCTAATACTGATAAGAAGAATGAAATTTCAAGAAATACTGGAAAAATAGTTGTTTACTATTACTCAAAAGTTGTTTAGACAACAAACTTTCCGTTCTTTGGGGCCTGAAAAAGAGATTACAGAAAGAAAATAGGATAAAAGAGGCATCTAACACCTTTGACTTATCCATTAGCTGATCTAATTTTTCTTGCATATAAAAGCAATGCGGGACAAGAGAAACACTCACATATCATCAGTTCCAACATATCACTCTGACAACTGCATTTATTTTCACTTTGCATTTATATATTTCTATACGGGTTTCAATTATACACGACATCGTTGTAGTTTTTGAAGTTTTATGGATCGAATTCGGATTTTGGAAGATTTGACAGAGGATTTAACAATTTTGTTGATAGCTTGCTTTTTTAAATAAATTTTTTGAAGATTAACAATCTGTTCAAAAATTCGTGTAGGCGTTATCACGATCCGATTGATCGGAAACTTTTAGAAAAATAAAATTGATTACAACAAATAATTTGAAAACACCAATAAAGCACAGAATCCAAGAAGAAGATTCAGACATTAAACTAGACTCAAGGAATGTTCATTCGTTTTGAAAATTTGAAAAAAATTAAAATAGAATGCGAAGCGATGAGATGACAGAATTGCTGTCACCTTATCTTCAAATGGCAAAAAACTGGGTCAATCAATTTTAACGTTGGACTTCTGAATAAGATAGGAGATTTTGTTGAGTGAGTCTAAAACTTTTTAGGTCTACTAAACAAAAATAGAGCTTCAGTTTTGTAGTTGACAGCTTGTTTGTGCAAATTCATCCAATTGAGATAAACCGCTTGAAGCCAACCAAGTGGCGAAACTTCCAGAAACTGCAGTTATTTTAGAGCCAGCACACTTCCCAGCTGTATATATCGTTGAGATGTATTTTTACAAAAAGGTTGTCAACAACAAATTTGAAGCTCTATTTTTGTTTAGTATGGTCAACATTTCCTAGGCTCATATTTGGAACGCTCTCTTCTATCTCTAAGAGAACCCCCTCAAACACCATACAGCTAATCCCGAAAATCCCAAGATTTTTCTATTTCTCGCCCATAAACACCCCCGCGGCTCAAAAAGAGCTTGCAAAGGATCGTCATTAACCATGTTATTTTCATTTTTCTCCATTCCAATTTCGAATATTTCCCTCTGTTATGGCAGACTTGAATGTGTACCTATCATTATGTCTTATTCTTCTTTTAACCCTGATTGCCACAATTTTACTCACATTTACAATATTTTTCCTAAAATACTACTATGATAATGTTCATTTACAACAATGCGCGATTTACATGAGGCCGGATATGGTTGATTTACAATCTATCAAAAGGAGAAGCTTACAATGGGAGAAGAAACAAAGGAAATTGAGAAAAATTGCACGTATGTTTTGACCTGAATTAATGATTTTTAAATAAATTTTCAGACAACTTCAATATCCCTCAAATTGTGATATCTCCTGTCGAGAATATACCAGACTATAATTTTTTTGATTTGACACCCAACTCGCCGCCACCGACATTTGATCAATTTATGTGTCAATCTCAGAAATTTGTCTCGTTCCAAAATTCGTTTCTCACTGTTCCCCCGTTTCTTTGAATTTAATTTTCTTTTTTCTCGTATCGTCCCGATCTTAGAATTTTTAGATGTTGCCAATTTTCAGTGTGACCATTTGAGTAATCAAAAATAAAGATGTTTACAACTTCTTGTTTTCATGAACTCTTAGTAAAAAAAATTTGTCAGAGAAATGAAAGTTTCAAAATTTGTAAAGATCACAAGACAGCAGTATATGAAACAATCATTTGAGAGCATGTGGAATGAAATCGGAGTTAACATGAGAGATAAGCTTTAATTTCTAATCTATCGGATTTTGAAAAGTCCTTGGCACTTGGACAACGATTTTATTTTTATTTATAAATAGAAGAGTTGCGGTAGATGGTTTTAAGAAAATTAGTTTCTCTGACAAAAGATTTTTGACAGATCAAAAAATAATATAAGGTTTTCCGAGCACATTCAACGTTCTCGAATAGTTTATCTAGGCTAAAATCCGATAATACCAGGGATGTTTTTTTCAAAACGCGACCATCTTTTAAAAACCTTATTCAAATATTCACTCTCATCATCTTTACTATTTACAATCACCAAATGCTGTGTGTGTGTGTGTGTGTGTGTGTGTGTGTGTGTGTGTGTGTGTGTGTGTGTGTGGGTTCGACCCCCACTGTGGTAAAACTTTTTTGCATTTTTTGAAACTAATTTTTGATTCCAAGTTTGCCCCCCTAGGCACTATATGACACTTTTTGATTAATTTCAAAAGTTTTCCAAGAAAAAAAAGATTTAATGAGAGTTTGAGGAAAAAATAGATAATGGTCTTTTCGACCGGTCCTTACACCCTCGTATCGTTAAAAACAAAAATTTCAGTGGCGGGAAAGTGACAAACGGAAGGTGGTAAGTGGTTATAACGAATTTCAGGTTGTTCATTTAGTTTTGAGGTGCCAACGCCGCGCCGCTACCGGCTGAGCTACGGTGGCCGAAGCTGCGACCCGATCTCCATTTAGGATATTTCCGACAAAAAAAAACAATAATTAATTTAAATGATTTATTGATTTTATTAAAGTAAACAACTTAACAACAGCATCTTTGTTTATCCTTTTTCATATTCACAGAAAAAAAACTTAAGGAAATTAATTTCATGATGTTTCATCATAATGGAATACTTCATCATTGTCAAAGGAGAATTCTTGTCTCAAAGTGGAATTACTCCGGAATCGATTTTCATTGTTTCCAATCGTTTCAGCTGAAGTAAATCGAGAGAAATCTGAAGTCAGAGTTCTTAACTTTTCTATGAACTTACAAATTACCTGGTAATTCCATTTCGATATCATATTGATTCCCATTTTTATCCTTTTTCAACAATTTTTTATAACTCCCATAGTCGAGTCCCATAGTTTCATAGTAATATTTACAAATAAAGCAAAGGCAGACAATGAAGACTCCTGTGAATAAAAAGCAAAGGATGGCTAGAAATGCAATGCACCAGGAGAGGAAGTCGTCTGAAATCATGGTGGCAGAAATAGGAATGACTGGAACATGAAGAGAAATGAAGGATTTGAAAGGATGCATTTCTTTATTTGATGACGTCCGTGATGGATAGATATCGCCGGATCAGTCGGATTTGAAATACATTTGGCATTCTGGAAAATTCGGATATAAATCTGAACAATAATCTTTTATGGATCTCAAAAAATGATGTTTTGCTGGTAGGGACAACAAACATCAGAAAACATCTTCTGTTTCTGATTGGGAAATCCTGGGCAAGACAATCCAAGAGTTTTCAATATTCAAAATTATATTAATTTTATTTTGAAAAATCATAAAAAATAAAGCAATCCAAACGAGTTTTTTAAAATCAAATAATTTCATTATTTGGACCGATATATTTCAAGAAACCTTCAGAATGATAAAAAATTCCATCTTTCATTTATTTGAAACAAACATGAATTTTAATAAAATTGGAAACAATCCATGTGATTTTTTCGTTAAAATAATTCAAAACAACAATTTCGCTAACAGTTTGAAAACGACAAATCAACTTTCGTTATAATCTTGTACCCTCGCTCCAGTCAAAACATATCTCCATTCAAAAACATGAAAATTTATAAAGTTTTGACGAATCTCGATGTGCAGAACTTCATCCTCCAAATCCTTGATTCGAAAATACCAATTACGTGAAAGTTCGGTAATAAACGCAGGGCCCCACAAATTGGAAATTATCTCGTTTCCATTGAAAATTGTCAACTCAAAAAACGCATACACGAATGTTGATGAATTGATAAAAGTCTGAAACAATTTCAATTATAAAAATTTGAATTCAAAATTGAATACCTTTTTCAAAAACTCCAAATCACTTGCAGAAATGGAATGAGTTTTTATGGACATACTTGTAAAATGACAAATATCTCTTGCGTCCAGATTCAATACTTGAAAGTCACATTTGAATTCCTCTGCTTTTTTCCATTGCTCAGTTTTAGCAATATCATCAATTTCAATTTCAATTCTGTCATCAATATCATCATCGTCCGCGAAAAAACTGAGTTTTTCCAACGCTTCCGGATCAGTAAACTGTATGAATTTCATAATTTGAGATTGATTGCATTTTTTGAGGTATAATTGCTCTGTTTTGATTTTTCGATTGATCCTTATGCACAGATTACTCAGTTTAACAGAAAGTTTGTAAATCGATGAATCAGGTGATAGTTGAAAATCATTCACATCGAAATATATTCGGTATAATTTGGACTTTTGAAATCTCAACACCAATTCCAGATCTCGAATCGCCACATCCACAATATTCGAGTTTTCGAAAATTTTCCAAGTTTCTTGAAAATTTCTAGAATTTCCAAATTCAGAATACTCGATGCGATAGATAGTACCACCGAAGTCCGCAAACGCGAACACTATCTTGTTCTCGTCTTTCTTTGAAACAATTTCCATTTCTTTAAAATTCGAATCCGGCAACTTCGAATCTTTCAAATCGTCGATAAAATTTCGAAAATCTCGACAGACTTGGCGAAGGGTCAGGCTGAAAATTTACATTTTCAGAATTGATTTATTTGATGAAAAACACTCACACATCTTTGAAATTTGAAAATCCAATGATTTTTTCCAATACAAACTCCGGCATTTCAATGATTGATGACATTGTTGGAAGTAGAGAAATCGAAGAAAAAATAGTTTACTATTAGGTATGAATGAAACAACCAATTGAAAAAAGTACAGATGTGTTATGTTTGTCGGTCAGATGTGTAATTCCTCTGCGTCCCCAAAAAATTCACACTGTTTATTTCTTTTCTGCTGTTGCCTCGTTTCTCTTCAATATTTTTGTGCAGCCTTTGTTTCCCGACATATCAGATATTCAGAAACCTGCATTAAGACTAATTTGAAACGATTGAAAATAAATAACCAAAATTGGGAGTAAAAAAATGGGAGTTATTTTTCATTAGAATAATAAAAAAATCGACAAATCAATTCTCGTTATAATCTTGTACCCTTGCCCCGGTCAAAACATTTCTCCAGTGAATAGTATGAAAATTTATAAATTTTCCACGAAACTCGATGTGTAGAACTTCCTCCTCCAAATCCTTGATTCGAAAATACCAATTACTCGAAGATCCGGTATTGAACGAAATACCCCACACATTGGAAATTTCCTCTTTTTCGTTGAAATGTGTCAACTCGAAAAATGCATGCTCGAATTTGGGAGAACTGATAAAAGTCTGAAATATTTTGAGTTATAAAAAAGTTTAAATTTAAATTTCCCAACATTTCTCAGAATTTCAAAATCTTTCGCAGGAATGGTTTTCATTGTTAACGTGATTCTTGAAAAATGACAGATATCGTTAACGTTCAGATTGAATACATGAAAGTCACAATGAATTTCCTGTGCTTTCTTCCATTGCTCAGTTTTAACAATTTCATCAATTTCAAGTTTCATGTCGTCATCTTTTGCAAGTAAAATTAGTTTTCTCAGCGCATCCGAATCAGCAAATGGTATTAATCTCATTATTTGAGATTTATTGTACGTTTCTATAGTAAGGTTATCTGTTTTGATTCTTCGATTGAGCATTTTGAACATATTGCTCAGCTTAACAGGAAAATTATGCAGCAATGAATCAGGTAATAGTTGAAAATCATCAACATCGAAATATAACCTTTCCAATTGGGGCTTTTGAAATCGCAAAACCAATTCCAGATCTCGGATCGCCACATCCACTATATTCGAATTTTCAAATACTACCGTTTTTCCTTGAAAATTTCTAGAATTTTCCGATTCAGAATAATCAATGAGATAGTAGTTGACATCAAAATCCACCAAAGAAAAAAATATCTTGTTTTCGTCTTTTACCGATACAATTTCAATTTGTTTGAACTTCGAATCTGGCAATTTCGAATCATTCAAATCGTCGATGAAATTCCGAAAATCTCGACATACTTGGCGAAGGGTCAGACTGAAAATATACATAGAAAATTGAATATTTTTGAAATGAAAAAGCACTTACACAGCTTTAAAATCTGACAACCCAATAATTTTATCCTATACAAACCCTGGCATTTCAATGATCGAGGACATTTTTTGAAGTAATCGGAGAATAGTTCGTTTGGAAAGGGATGAAAAATACGAATGGAGATCTGTTGCGAAGTGTATGATTTTTCGCCTCTAAGAGTTTCACACTATTTCTTTCTTCTCTGCAGTCATCTCGTTTCTCTTCACTCTCATATTTGTTAAAAAACTTTTCCCAACATACTAGATATGAAAAATTGATTTTCCGGGAATTGAAAATAAAAAATGGACGAATTTAGTTAAATTATAAAAAATCAGTTTCCGTTATAATCATGTACAATAATTCCGTTAGGAATAACTCCCAGCTCAAAAGTATTGAAACGAATGTGATAATTCACGTATTGATAAATTCTGATGCACAGAGCTTTCTCTGCCGAATCCTTCATTCGAAAACACCATTCCTTTGAATACTCGGAATTAAATGCAGCTCCCCACAAATTGAGTAGTTCCTCTTTTTCGTGGAACATTCTCAATTCAAGCCCTAACTTCTCGAATTTTGAAGAAATCAGAAAAACCTGAAAAATTGTAATTATTCGAATTTTTAAATTTAAAGTTCAAACCTTTCTCAAAGAATCCAAATCTCTCGCAGAAATGGAATTCATTGCCATCGTGATTCTTGAAAAATGGCGTATATCTTCTACGTTCAGATTCACTACTCGAAAATCACATTTTAATTCCTCCGCTTTTTTCATTGCTCAGTTCTAGCGATTCCACCAAGTTCGAGTTGGATACTGTCATCCATTGAATCAAACTGGATAATTTTCAGGGTTTCAGGATCAGCAAATTGTAACATTTTAATGAGGTTAGATTTATCTCCTGTGCTTATACTCAATTCTGTTGTTCTGATTTTCCGACCGGATGCATTAATCATATTGCTCATCTTGGTTGGTAGAGTATGAATCGATGTGTCATCTTGGTTTTCGATATTGTCCAAATAAAAATAGAAGTCTTCAAAAGTGGATTTTTGAAATTTCAAGACCAATTCCAGATCTCGAATGGCAACATCCACAACATTTGAATTTTCAAACACAGTCGTTTTTCCATTGAATCTTCGGAATCCTTCCATTTCTGAATATTCGATGTCATGAGAAGAATAATCAGAATCCACGAACCACTCACACAGCTTTGAAATCTGAAAATCCAATAATTTTATCCAACAAATGTTCTGGCATTTCAATCAGTGAAGCCATTTTTGGAGGAAGAAAAGTAGAGCAAAAATGATAGTTCGGAATGGGAAGAAAATACGAATTGATAGTAATATATCTGTTCTTTCGTCGGAGACGTGTCGGTTTTTTCTGCGTCTCTAAGAACTTCACACTATTTCTTCAATTTCTTCGCTCGCCTTTGTTCAGGAAAATTTCGTAACATATTTGTTATGAAAAATATTTTTCACATTTCTGGAAAAGTGTTGAATATTGGAAAGTTTTTTATTGATTCAAATTTGAAGAATTGAAGCATCAGATAATCAGAAAAAAAGTATTTAGAACGATGGCGTGAAAATAATTATTTAAATTATTATATTCAGGAAAAATGGACATTCCAAACGTGTTTTCAAGATCCCAAACCTTTATTTTTTAAATAAAGATTTTTGAAAAATCTTCGAAATGAAAACGAGAAAATTATTTTTTGATGAAAAAATTCCTAGGAAATGAGACAATACGAACGTGTTATAGAAATTCAAAATTTTTATTTTTTGACCGAAATATTCTAAAAAGTACTCAGAATGAAAAAAAAAAACATCTAAATAAATGAATCCAGAAATAAAAGAACAATCCAACCCTGTTTCCGAAATTCCAAACTTTGATTTTTCGAGGATGACATTCAGAAAAATCTAAGGGTTGATCACAAAAAACTTCCAAAATTTTCAAAAAAAATCAACTTTCAAAAAAAAAAAATTTTTATCTTTCTCAAAGTTTGAAATTCGGTAAAAACTTCAAAGTGCAAAAAACTTATTTTATATATTAAACTGTGGTGAAGCAAAGATCAGAAAAAATTTCAAAAATTCTGAAATCCCAATCTCAGAAATACGGAAATTCCAATATTAGAAATTTCGAAAGTTCTGATTTTTAAATATTCTAAAGTTCGGCGAAACAGATGATCGAAAAATCAGATATTATCAAATCGACAGACGGCAATATTTTTTATATGAAACATCTCCTACATTTCCTATCTACACATTATCAATAAAACTTAATCATTGACCATTTGTTTTGTGACATTTATCTCTGTTCAGAGTCTGAACTTCAGACTAAGAATTCACTTTAAGAGTTTAATATTTTTACAAACGCCTGACCTACAAATCGAGTTAAGGATTTGACCAATTATTCTGAAAGAGAAAAAACCCATTTAGGGAGGTTTTCTCGTTTCTGATGGAAACACAATCTTTTGTAAGTTTGTCTCGGCTACTTTTAATGAAATTCGAATAATTTTCAGAAAATACAAAAGCTGGATGTAGAGGATCGATCGATTTTACCGAAACAATCATTCTCAACGCACTCATGATGCATTGCGAAAAAATGTTGTGTCTGACGTATTCAAATAGAGCAGATTATTTTCGAAACTGCGATATAACCGCTCCGAAGGATTTGGAAAATTGGATAAGATGTCGTCTAGTAGGAAGAATGTGCGGTTTGAAATTGACATATGAAGAAAAAACTTCTTCTATATGTGATTTTCAGCTGTAATTCAGGTTTGGGTGGTTCTCAAAAGACAAAATAAAATTTCAGCCCTTGGACCATCCAGATTTGTGGATTTGTTGTCGATTTACGAGGCGATATCAAAAACCAAAGAGGACCTCATTGTTCATTATCTTCTTTATCACCTTAATAATCCCGCACTTTATTTTACAAAATATTCAGCTGAAACATACAATTTTATTTTATTTATTACAATGATTTCATCCGAAATTCATTTGGTATTCCGGAAAAATCTTTTAAAAAACAGATGTTTTATTGAAAAACATTTTTCATAAGGACATCAAAAAATCTCAAAAGATCGATTCATCAGCAAAGAATCAATTCTGATATAAAAGTCCGAGTGTATGTATGTCCATGAGACAGATGACCGGTTTCCCCCAATGGATAATCAATCTTTCTCGGAACATACGACTTTCTATGTTATTCGGCAATTCGACCTTTTGTTTCCCATTTCCTCTCTCTTTTGAAACTAAATCATTTTGAAAGCTTGGAAAATAAACCAAGCCAATGACTTTTAAATCGAGTTGGATTCGAATAAATATTCTAAAAGCAAAACCTCATTTGGGAGTCATCTGCAAATGGCAACAAAACCTTTGGTAAATTTTAATTGACTGATTCAAATAGAAAATCAATGCTTCTAGAAAAGTCGACCATCCGAATGTTCGGTTTGCCACCGACCAGCCCATCAACATCACTGTGGGGTACCAACTTGTAAAGGATGCAAGACCTTTTTTCGAAGGATGTATATTTCTAAAAAAATCGATAAATGCCAGTTTGACAGGAAATGTTTCGATGACACAATAGGAGGTGAGCAAAAATGTGAGCTTTCAGGGATTTATCCGTATAAACCTTTTGAAACTTTGATATGTTTCTCCAGGAAATATACAACATCTTCGATGTCAACATTGCCGTTTTCAAAAATGCATTCAAGTAGGAATGAATCCCAATGACTTGAGGCTTCCCGAAGCAGACTCTTTGAACTCTTCGGCGACAACCTTCGATAATCTTCCCTTGCTCCTAAAACAGTTGGCTCACTTTGGCACTTATAGAGCTCTCCTACTGAAAACCTGCTCGTATGACGGGGATCCAACTATTGAAGAAATATCATGTATGCTTCAAAACCTCAAATTTCGAAATAGTCCGTTGGCGCAGAATCTTCCAAGCATTGAATGGGCGTTCTTCACTGCTTTAGCTTCATTTGATTTTTTGAGGAAACTTCAAATCGTTCAAAATTTGGATACAAAGGATCGAACAATTTTACTGAGACAATCATTCTCAACGCACTCTTTGTTATCCGAAGCTTTTTATTCGTTTCAGAAGAAACAATCGTGTCTAACGTTTCCCAATGGATCTGATTGTTTTCTAAGCGATGCTATAACTGTTCCGGCGGATTTTGAAAATCGGATAAGATGTCGCCTAGTAGGAAGACTATGTGATTTGAAAGTGACTTATGATGAATCACTACTTATTTCATTGATCTTCATTTCTGATCCAGGTTTGGGTGGTTCTCAAAAATATTTTGTGTTATTAAAAACAATTTTCAGCCCTCAACGGATTATCAGAAATGGGTCAGTCACTGATTTCTTCTCATCGTAACGTCTACTCATCTCTTCTCGTTCAGTACTGTCTTCAAAACTATCAAAAGTTGGGACCATCCAGATTTGTGGACTTGTTATCGATTTACGACGCAATCAAGAAAACTCAGGAGGATCTCAAACTCCATTATTTGCTTTGTTACCTCAATAATCCCCCACCTAAACTTTACAAGATATGGCTTTCTATAGTTTAACGTGGTCAATAAACTTTTGAAGTCTGAAATTTTTAAAGTGTTTCACAACCTGTTGGTTTTCAAAGATTGAATGATTAATACCAGTCGGTTTACGCCCCTTTGGACCCCTTTGGGGCTCCTACTCGGAAATTTAGAAGTTCAGCATTTCGAAATTCTCTAATTCGGATACTCAGATGCGCTAATTTCCGAAAATAATATCATCACTAATAACAAACACCGAATGTAACTATGCATGTCAAGCGCTGTTTCACACACTGAAAGTTAATTGTTCGAGCTGAAAGCTATTCAGATATCAACTTTGAAATTTAAAAACTTTAGGTTTTCACAATTGCTGAAATTTCGAATCTAAATCTCCGAGTTTGAACTCAATTTCTCAACATCCGAAACTTATTGAATTCTAAATTTTCAAAATTCTGAAACGCGGAATTTCTAATTCCAAAGTCACAGAAACTCAGAATTGTAGAACGTCGACATAAGGGTCCCCCCTTATGTGTTTTTTGAAATTTTCACAACTTGTGGAATGACAGGCCCGCCGGGCCTCCAAAATTTGGGAAATAGCCCGGCATGGCCCGTTACAAGTATGCTCGATAGGGTTCGAACCGTCGGCCCACGCTTAATAGCCATCTCAGTTAACCGCAACACCAAGCAGCGCACACTCTAGAAACAGTGGGAACGTGATGATAGAAGAGAGAGAGAGAGAGAGAGAGAGAGAGAGAGAGAGAGAGAGAGAGCGAGAGAGAGAGGAGAGAAGGGAAAGGAGAGATCGAAAAATATTTTCTCACGCTTTATACAGTAAAGAAAAGAAACGTCTCCAGAAGACTTCAAAATCGAAATTTCGAAAATAGAAAGGGTCGGGTCGTAACTAATAAAGATTTCCGAATCGCCTGTCCCGATTTCAGCTCAATCGGTGATCGAAGGCCGCAAACATTTTCTATTGATAAGTGAGCGGTTTTTTTTTTCATTAAAGTAAACGGATTTTGTTCAGTCATTTTTTTAAAATTTCGTCATTTTTTTTGAAGAAACCATTTTCAGAGATTGACTTTTTCGCTAACCCATTAATCAAATTTAGGTATCGACCACTTTTTCTGGAAAAAAAACTAAATTTCGAAAGTTCTTGGAAACATAATGAGTCACTTTGAATTATCGTACAAGGTTTCTGATTTCTTATCAGTCCTACTTATAACCTCCTCGTTTCATTATTTACTCAACTTCCATTCCATTTCTTGCCTCTTCAAATGCTCTACTTTTTGATTCCAATTCCCAACTCACAATCCCGAGGAGCCCCTATTATTATAATTGGATACTTCTTTGTAGTTGGAGGTTGGCTGTTAGAAATTGCAGCTTTATTGTTACCTGATTGGATAGTTTTCTCTGATGGAGGGCCTTCTTATGGAATACTTCCATATCCTGTAAGAAAATGAAATTGGATTATAAATTTTGGAAAATAATAATTTATTTCAGAGTGTCTTCTCGAATTTTGGATGGGCAGTTGCAGCATGTTGGCTGATGTACATAGCCAGTGCACTTTGTTTTGTGATATTTTTTTTCTACATTGCATTTTTGTGAGTTCTTTTTTTTTCAAAACTTTGGGAATTTTTTCAGACACATTCTGAAAAAGCATGGATTCAGTTTACAACTCCGTAAATTCTACTACACTCTTTCAATTCTATCACTTATCAATGGAGCGCTCTTGTTCACCAGTTACATGTTATTCGCTATCGGTATAGATAGTTTTGCAAGAAAGTATCCACATTCTTCGGTAGGGAAAAACGTTTTGGAGATTGAAGATAGTTTATTTTCAGATTGGTTTTGCTGTATATATTGACCTAATTTCTGCTATGATTTATTTCATTTCGGGTCCTCTGTATATTGTTTTTGCTCGAAGATTTTGTCCGATGCCGTTGTTTTAAGAATAAAAATTATATACTAGTCAACAATTTCGGATAAGGTACTTTATTAAAAATGATATCATGGAAAAAAGAAACATGGATAAAAATAGAATGGTTATCATTAAGTTTGACTCGTCGAAGAAGTTGTGTGTTTCATTGGTTTGCATTGGTAAAATCGTTGGATTTCCGGATTGAACAAAAGTACCACTAATCTGAAAATTTAATTTTTTTCAGAACAGTATTTATTTTGCTGCTCACCCATCAAGTGCATGAACCGCTACCCAGGCAAATGACGTGGCGAAAAACAAGATCCATTTGTTCGCAAAGTATCGGGGGATAAAAAAGTAGGAGAGAAGTTCGAGCATGAAAACGGTGCCTTGGGTTACGGTCTGTTTTAGAAAACGCATTTCTCGTTGGGACAGACGACTTTGGGCTTGGTCACTGATATTTGCGCTGATCTGGGATTGAAGGTGGTGGAGTATTGAAAACAAAAGTTTGATTTTATGTGTGTTGTTTTTTTGGAATTTCGAAAAATTCCACAATTTCTTCTTGGGATCTCACAATTTTGGAAACTCCGACTTTTCTCAGAAACTTCGGAATTCAGAATTCCGTTCCGTACACCACTGCCGACGACTAGTGGTACATACCCTAGAACCTGTAAAAGAAGGGCTCCCACACTGTCAAGTTTGAGCTGATTGATCTCGGCTCCTGTAAGAGATATCAAAAATGCGTCCACTGATAAAACACTGCAGATATTATGATTAACAGTTTATCAATTGACAACTTTTTTGTATTTTTGATTGGAACCGAGAGAAATTGGCTCAAAGTTAAAAGTCAGTCTCTGACTGTTAGAGTACCTCTCTATTACAGGTTTCACGGAATAGGAGAGTTGCAACTTCCAATACTCAATAAAACCTTACTGACGCTACTGGTTTTTTTCCTTTCAGGTTTTTGAAAGAATTCGAGACAAAAACCAATTCCTACCTTCCTAGACATCTTCCGAACCTTAACCACTGTCAGCATGTCGAGTACCATAACAATCGCCACAATGGTTGAATTTTTCAAAAGATCCCCATACCAGCCAATGAATCCGCAAAGTTTTGAATTTGAAAATAACAAAAATTGAATTTTCTCGTCAAAGTAAAACGTGCACGAGACTGAAAATATTTCGAGGTGGTACAGTAACCTGGAAACAATTCATGCCTTCATAAAACAAAACCGCGACTGTTGAGGTATAAAACCAAATGAAGACAATAATGATTTTTGTATTCCTCTCGCTGAAAATATTCGGATAGCGATGAGGAGCCCAAACAGCACACAGTCGGTTCATGGAAATTGCTAGATGGGTCATCACCGAAACTTCGTAGCTTAAAAGAATCAAAAAGCCACCATGGTGGGAATTGGTTTTGAATGATTGGATGTCCCTGAAAATCAAGAGTTAACTACCGTAATTTTGGGGAAACCTACAGTATGACCATTGGACAAAAATAAAAAAGAAACATAGACCCATGAAGAGCATCTACGATTGCTTGATTTGCCGAGAGAAAACCAAATGAGTGATTGAAAGATTTCAATTTCAAAATGGCATACAAAACTGCCCAGTTCACCAGTGCACTCAAAAATGAAATCTGGCCCAGAAAATGGTTGAAAAACTACAGTAATCTCAGAGACACTCACCGGTAGTAATGCAAAAATGGTATCATTTTCAGGAGTCTCAGACATTTTGAGCTATTCAAAAGCGGTTTTAGAGATGTGTTATACTCCTTTGACTGAAATCTTATGAACAATGATAGGGGACAATAATTGTTTTCAGACAGACATAATTTCCAGGTGAAAGTGGATAATGAAATCCCGTGAGTTTAGAAAAAATAGAGAATAACAAGCTGAGTCAATGGTAAATGTTAGAACCATAATTATTCTTCGAAGTTCTTTGACTTAAAGGGTGATGATGAATTGAGAAATTTGGGAATAAAAAACATATAAAATCATTTAGGACAGGAGTAAATTGAAAAATTGGATAAAGGCGAGGTGCAGGAAGATTAGCTGAGAAATTAGGAGTTGTCAAAAACTTCTATAAATGCAAAGTTCTCAATCTAGGTCTATTTCACACCGTTCACAATTCTCACAGTGATCAAGAACTTGACAGCCGAGCTCCAGACTGCTGAAAATGGCCGAAAATAAACTGAAAATCACGTTGTTGTATACCTTACCGACGGGTACTGTATATGAATAAAATTTTGAGAAGTATAATCCTTCATTAAGTAATTTCTTTTTCCTGTTGGCTGTCTTTTAAATATATTGTGGTCCGCTTCATGGTCTTTACCTCCGACTTTTAACAGTCTAGCGTTTGCCGCTGCACTACTGGCCTCCTTTTCTCCGGGATACTGGCGTCTACTCCGCTTTTGATTGTTTTCCGGTCAGAGAGTTCCAGAAACATTATAAGATCTATAATCTCACAGACAGCGTCATAATCTATTCTGAATCATACTGTACTTGATAAAACAATCGTTTCTATTTATTTTACGTCAGAGCACATCACAATGTTCTCCGTTCTCAGACGCTACGTCAGATATCCATTAAAGGTGGGGGGACATGAAAAAAATAATGTTCTCGAAATTCTGTTCAAAGATGCCCCTCGAGGAGTTGAACTTGTGAAGGCGATGATTGAGGGTGCGGCGCAGCTACCGACTGAGCCACGCGGGCAAAGAGAAAGCGGACGTCCGATTGCATACATAAAGGCGAGGACGACAGCTGTACGCAGAGTGACATTAAGCGTTGTACACCGTGACGGTAGAATGCATACTCTAGCTACAAAAAAACTACGAAAAATCTCCTGTCCCCCCACCTTTAAGGGAATCAACTACAGTAAACTTATTCACATGAACCACTTATTACCATAACAAGTCGCGTCCCTTGTCGTCTGGTATATGAACGAATTCTTTCTGTGATTAGCTAGAACGCTAATAAATTATACACTTCCGCTTTCGTTCTAATCGTTTCTGATAACAATATGATAATAGTCTTCGAGATATTCGTTTTGTTAATTTCACTGATTTTTTGGTCAAAACATCAATTCAGCCTCTATTCTAATTTGTCGAATAATTCAAAGTTGGATTTTTTGAAGTTTTCGTTTTCAGCCACACCATATCTTCATCGGAAATCTTTCTCTTCTGGATCTGGGCCACTCACTTTGTCCCAAAACTTGGATTCATTTTACCACTCTTTTTGAATCTACCCTCCTCCTTCTCAATTTCCTTGGTGCACAGAGAAGTTTTGGCACTTACAAATACCTCATCAGCATGTTCACAATTCTTGGAATGACTTTTTCGACGGTTGAAATTTTGGTATATCCTGTAAGAAGAATAGGAAAGTCGGGGAAATTATTCGAATAGTTTCAGAATGTCCACAATTTCAACGCCGGATTTCTTTTCTTTAGTTTTGAAAAGACTCTGGGTATGGTTGATTCATGGAATCGGAATGTACCAATAACATCGTATACGTTCTTTCATTCGGCAACAATGGCTCTATTGTCTGTGCAATTTATTCACAGATATTGGGCGGTTTTCGAGTAGGTAGCATTTTTTGAGGCGCTTATATGAACGAAATCAGGAAAAATTGTTTTTTTTTTAAATGTTCCGCCCATTTAAAAAACCAATTACCATATATTTTAGCATCCACAAGCTCAATTATTTCAAAGGAGCCAACGCTTTGATCTGGGTTGTCTATTGCTCACTTTTCGGCTTCCAATACTCACTAGGATCCTCGTATTTCTTCAACAGGGACAATGTTTCTGATGAATACTTCCGGGAAGACATGCAGATCCGTTACAATGCAAATATCTCTGATCTACCAGCAATGGCAATTGTAGCCTACGATCCTTCTGATGGATCCACTCGATGGAGGAATAAAATGGGAATTGGGAATATGTGTGTGGTTGTCAACTTTCTGTATGGTGTCATGGTCTTCTGTGGATGGTCGATGCATACTAAAATGGAGGAGAAGATTCAGAATTTTTCGGAAATCTTAAGAAAACATCACAAGCAATTTTTCAAAACCCTCGTACTTCAGGTTCCGTCTATTCATGAGATCACCGAAAATGAACGTTTTTCAGATTACAATGCCAACCATAATACTGTTCATTCCCATTTGTATCATTATGATTCTTCCGCTTCTAAATCTTAATATCAGTATTACATCGGGAGTTATTTTGTGTTGTTTTACGCTTTATCCAGCCACAGACTCCCTCATTGTGGTGTGTTGTTTCTGAGTACCGGATTACTGCAAAAAGTGAGTTTCTGAAATCTTAACTTCCGAAATTAAGTTTTTTAAGACTTCAAACGATGGTTTGCGGAAGTTGTTGCCACATTCGTCACAAGAAATTTTTAGATACAAACTTGACTAGTTTATCTTAATTTTCTTTCTTATTTTGATAAAACTGTTTTTTCTGAATTTCAGATGACCTGTTATTTAGAGAATAACATGCTGAAATTAAAAAAAAAGAGACAAGGAAACGCCACTGAAAGATGAAGTTCTTGCTCCTTGGAGCATTTACGTATGAAACTCGATGATTACGTATGAAACTCGATGAGTAACGAGTCATAAGCCAGCTCTCAAGCTCATCAACAACAACGCAGAAGGCTTTGTATTAGATCGTAGAAGATGAAGAATCGAAGGAGATGATCAAACCAGCATTAGTCCTCAATTGATGAATTGTCTGATGCGATTTACGAGCCTCGAGTCAAGGCCAATATGAAGAATTCTGCACAACAACAGACAAGCCAAAAGTTCTGGCAACACTTTCCCACGACATAAGATCAAGTACCTCGGTACTAGGCAACGTCGAACAATACTGCTCTGACACAGTAGTCCCCTAATTTGAAACTGCTCCAGCCGAACCAATTTCTCTTTAACCAGGCAATCATTGGTGAGGAAGAGTAAGACAAATTTACGACGAGTTAGAAAAGGAGCCCCGCTCGTGAGACCCTTGGGAAAGGTCGAGGATGGATGGGAAGGCCGCGAGGGTAACTGGTCTTTGGTCACCGGCTTCGGCTGATTGAATCCATACTTGTAATCCGGGCCTT